TTTTTTTTTTTTTTTTTTTTTTTTTTTCATTTTCTTCTTCTTTTTCCATTCTTCAAGTCTTTATTTATTTCTTTCTTTCCGAATGATCGGCCTTTCGGTGGGCTCCAACGGCTGAACCTGTTGCCAACTGTCTCTACTTTCGTAGTCCCGGGTCTTTCGGCCTTGTACTTGTTTTTCGTTTCCGCCCTTCTGAAGACTCGTTGGCACCCGGAGGTCTATCTAATGTATGTCCTAGCCTTCGGTCCACTTACTATAGGTTTCCATGTGAGTGCATGTACTTTGGGTCTTTATCAAAATGCGCTCGTAGATGTTTGCCGTTTGGACGATTGTGTAGGTCTGTAGGTGCGTGGTGCGTTGTACGTCTACGGAAGTTGGGTACAAGTACGCCACTCGTTGAATTAGGGGTTGTTGTCGTTGCTTTTCTTGCCACGGGCTTGGTGGAGGTCCCATTGTCTGTCTGTTCTGTTGTTGTGGACATGTGCGCAAACCATCACAGTATCCGTATGTGAGTGTACACTAAGTGTGTTTGCTGTTTCCTTTCTCTTGCTCTACATTCTTTCATCCAGTGACCTGTAATTTATATGCTGGGTTTGTTAGCATCAACCCCTCTTCTCCCTCTTCCACGTGTGCACGTGCTTCTCTCTTTCCCACCCTCTGTCTGTCTGTAAGTTCTGTGTTGCGGTCCTGACCAATTTCGGAGTGTTCACTCGGCAGAAAGTTCAATAGCGTCCAATTGCAAAAAGAAATGTTTAAACATGAGGGAAGAGAGAAAAAAAAAGGTCATTCCGAATCCTGCTTCCTCCCCTCTTATTCAAACAAGAAAGAACAATAATAATGTTGAATGGCTGAACATCATCTATGTTGCATTGACGAATCTCTACCACAGGAAGAAATCATGCATAGGTCAAAAATATGCATGGACAACACAAAGCAGTTATGTGGTCTGTCTGCTCCGTCTGTTGTGTATGTCTGTCTGTCTGTCCATCTGTCTGTCGGTCTGCTCTGGTTTGTATGTCTGTCTGAATGTCTGTCCGTCTGTCTGTTTGTCAGTTTGTCTGTCTGTCGTCTTGTCTGGTCATTCAGTCAGTCAGTCATTCAGTCAGTCAGTCATTCAGTCAGTCATTCAGTCTATTTGTCTCTATGTCTCTTTGTCTGTTTGTCTGTCAGTCAGTCAGTCATTCGGTCTATTTGTTTCTCTGTCTCTTCGTCTGTTTGTTTGTTTGTCTATCTGTCTGTCTGTCTGTCTGTTTGTTTGTCTGTCTGTCTGTCTGTCTGTCTGTCTGTCTGTCTGTCTGGTCTGTAAGTGGATGAACCAGAATGAAAGGTTGTTTGATGGTCCAACATGTCTGTGTGTTTGTGTGTGTGTGTGTCTGTGTGTGTGTGTGTGTGTGTGTGTGTGTGTGTGTCTATGTGTGTGTGTGTGTGTGTGTGTGTGTGTGTGTGTGTGTGTGTGTGTGTCCGTCTGTCTGTTTGTCAGTTTGTCTGTCTCTCGCCTTGTCTGGTCATCCAGTCAATCAGTCAGTCAGTCAGTCAGTCAGTCAGTCAGTCTGTTTGTCTGTATGTCTCTCCGTCTGTTTGTTTGTCTGTCTGTCTGTCTGTCTGTCTGGTCTGTAAGTGGATGAACCAGAATGAAAGGCTGTCTGATGGTCCAACATGTGTGTGTGTGTGTGTGTGTGTGTGTGTCT